CAAGTAATGTAACTAATATTAGCTAAGGTTAGCAAACTGTTGTTACAGTTGCTGCTGTGAAGATCACATACAGAGAGGACAAAACGGTCCCAGCTTTAGAAAGTGATACTCACAACTCTCCAACTACTGTTGCTAACATCACAACAACAGCATTTTGGCCAACTAGAAAGTAAGCTGAATGTCCATGGCCAAGTAATTTAAATGTTACCTGAGTCACAAATCATTGTTGAAATGACTGGAATAGTGTTGTGTAGCATGGTCCAAGCCACTTTATTTGTTTCCAATTTACAGAGCCAGGGCTGAGTACAAACACCAGATTTATTTTCAACGCACACACAGAAGGGAAAGCTAGCAGACCCCGAGGAGCTGAATTTGACAAAAAGACGTGTATTAGATTGGACATTGTTATGTTGGCAAACCAGGAAGTTGCCCTGGTTCCCTCAACAAAAAGCCAATTGGATTTTTTCACTGGAATTTGTATTATTACAGTTTATGATACTTACACCTTGTGTTCAGCAAGATAATCTTCACAAATGAACACCACTTTTATGATTTTTGAAGCATAGAAGTAAAAAGGTAACGTTTGGCTGTAAACAAACTACACCATGATTGAATGACTTCAGCGTCACCATCACTAAGCTTTCAACTTGTAATTTGATTGTGCACTCTTTGGAGTGATGACGTTTAATGTCCACAACAACCTCTGTAGTCTCATTTAGCCATTTGTTTGCAACAAGACACGTAAAAGCTTCAAAATTCAAGAGTGGGGTATTTACTAACATATTTTATGTCATTGTTAACATGTTGACCACAGACCTTATTTCAGGCATCTAACCAATAACCCATTTAAAAAACCCAATGAATTTGAGACAAGGGAACCAAAGTGCAAATATGTTAACTCCTGCAGCACTCTATGAGAACATTTTGGGAAATTAACTGGGAAATTTGTTGTCTTGCCTATAGAGCTAGATGTCTATGTGGTCAATAAGAACCTCCAGCAGCAGGTTAGCTTAGCTTAGCTTAGCATAAAGACTGGAAACAGTAGGAAACAGCTAGTCCGGCTCTGTCCTAAGGTAATAAAATTTTCCTGCAGCTGTGTCTTCATATTTGCAACAGTGAATGGTATCAATCTATTCATCTTACTCTCAGCAACAAAACAAAAAAGCTAATTTCCCAAAATATCAAACAATTCCTTTAAAATCAAGATACTATGCTAATGTCTTCTTGTGACCTATCATCACAGGTTGCATATATTTAAGGGCTGTCACCAGTTCAACCAAAGGTGATTTTTTTTGCACTTAATATATTGGAATAGTTTTTACAGGACTAAATTGGTAAAACTTTCCAATATTCTGTAGCAAAAAAGCTAACATTAGAGGACTATCTGGAAAATTAAGTACAATTTGATGTAGTCCATATGGTGTGTGCTCAGTCCCCTCCTGTTCATGCTGTTCACCTGAGACTGCAACACCCGACATGGAGAGAAGAACCATGTGGATGTTACCACCATCATCAGCCAGATTTCAAACCTTGATATCAGAAGGAAATCAACAATCTTACAGAGTGGTGCACACAGAGCAACCTACTACTCAACATCAGCAAAACCAAGGAGGATTTTTTTGGAAGGGAAGGGAGGCAAAGACACACACCCCTGTCTACATCAGCGGAGCTGAGGTGGAGCAGGTGAATAGTTTTCGGTTCCTGGGAATCAGCATCACAGAGAACCTGACATGGTCATCTCACAACTCCACGCTGGTAAAGACATCTCAGAAACTGCTGTATTTCATGAGGAAACTTAAGAAGGCATGTAAAATAGTTTATATTCTATATACTGTATATATGTTCTATTTCTATAACTTGTTCATCTAGTGTATAGTATATAAGTTTTGTATATGTTTTGTGAGTAGCATCAGGGTTAACTACAACTTCATCTCAATACACAACCCTGTTTTGTAAAATTATGAATAAATGTACCTTGTACCTTGTTTGGTTGAGGAGACCCTCAGCTTGGGAACCACTGAAAGCATGGATCTAACTATCCCAATTTGAAAAGTAACATTACTGGTGAGGTAAATGTTACTTAACTAAAGCATAGGCGACATTTTGTATGCATACTGTACTTAATCCTTCATCTCAATGTCACGCTTGTCTGTTACTTTTTTCCTTAAAAGTCTTGAAAATGGAGAAGGCAGCATTAAAACACAATCTTGGATCTTCCAAGCATGTCCAAATTCAGATTTTCTGTCTCTGTACAGGACACCGGACACAACGCTAATGTGTGTGCCTTACGAGCCACTGTGTCATGTCTGTCATTCTGAAGGCTTGTTTGCATACAGGGAGGCTATGTAAAGCATTAAATGGAACACGCATTACATTTTCACTATGCTTGACGTCAGTATAGTAAACTGTACAGTGCATGCTAAAATGCATTCTATATCTGCATCTCAGAGTAAAGGGAGCTATACTAGACTGGAAAGCCATTAAGATTCAACTCCAGTAACTTCCAGTGTAAACCTGGCTACAAGTGGAGGATGCAGCTGGGCTAAGGAGACTCCAGAGGCCTTACTATCCAACCTAGAGATGTGAAGAGGAAACACAACACTACACAATACAAATCCCCACACTGCAGTTGAGTGAACGACGGCAAGCCCATCCAGTCTACATGAACACATGCTATACACATGCATGCTGGGCCCCAGTTCCACCTGTCAGAATGCAGTGAAACAAGGCAGTTTAATCTCTTCAACCATTCTGTTAGACAGCAGCTACTTTCACCAGTACATACTTTTAGCATTTCACGACTCCCTCAGTACATGCTTACTCGCATGCCTGTGTGTCCCATGTCACAAGCAACACCCCCCACCCCAGCACCGCATTCCTCACTTGTGTGGTGATGTGTGACAACTGACACAGCTTAGTGCCACTCACAGCTTTGTATAAAAAAGCCTTAAAGGCAGCAGGGAAAACAAGGAGGATACAGTCGCTCACACTCTCTCTGCACCAGTGTAAATGCTCCCAGGAAAAATGATGAAAAGCAACTGAGAAGGTAACGCGGAGTCAAAGTGTGTCACTGGCTGTCTTGTGGCCTTTTGTCCAATCATATGGGACAAGGGGTGTCACATCTACCACCTGTCAGAAAACTTTGCTTTCTGGGGTGGAAAGCTATCGAGTGTTGCAGTCATATCTGAGAGGCAGGAGAGAACCGGAGCTTTCTCCTGGCACAAAACTCCCTCGCACGTAAATATGCTCACAGATTCACGCACCTCTTTGCACCTACAACTGCATGCACACCTGTGTGCACATACATATACACAGGCACATTAAAGCTGCAAATAACAGTTATTTTAATTACTGGTCAATGACTGTTGTTTATGTTGTTGATTAACCAATTATTTTCATTGTCGATAGATTGTGAAAAATAAGGGCAAATATCAATCACAATTTACCAGAGCGTCAGTTTCATATTTTTGAAGCTGTAAATTATTAATTATCAAAAGATATTTATACTTGCACACACAAAACTGACACCCTATAGTAGTTTTGTCTTGAACAATTGCTTACATATTACACAAATGCTTTGTTTGTGAGCTTTCTTTGTTCGTTTTATAACATATTTTAATGAGCCAAGTACAGCATCATATAAATTGTATCAGCTGTTAAAGGAGCCAGTCAAACTGAGAGCTAATTTTCACATGCATATTACACAGCTATTAAGATGTAGATTATAGAAACATTTAAAAAACAGCCAAAGTGCGTAGTATAAATGTAAAATGCAGAGTCAGAGAGCACACAGTTGGTTTGCTTTTAGAAAAATATATAATTAGGTTTTAAATATAAAAATAGCTGTGACTCTTTTTGTGAGTGGTGGATTTAACAGAAGAAGCTGACTGCCCGAATGCAGTGTGACAGAAGGGTATCTGTGATGGAAGATATTTAAGAGCCTTTAATGGTGTTCTCAGCAGGACGGGGAGACATAGTCACGCAATGGAGCAAGAGCCAGATTGTTTAAAATTGTATGCAAATGATACATATTTGAATAAAACCTGAAAATCCTCCAAGTTCTCTGGTGTCACATAGTGATGTCGCATAGTGATGACAAGTTGGATTTTTTAGGCTTGACAAAAAAGGGGAAAGTATTGTAAGGACTGATGAAAGATGTAGTTTGGAGTAATGTATAAACAGTCTGAAATGTGTAAATTCTTTGATCTAAATATTTATTTCAGAGATTATGTAATGAATGCATGATTTCTGTGTTCTTACATCCGGAATGTAACATTCTTTCTCTTTTCCTTACAAAAATAAATGTTTTCATCAGTGTGTTGCCAAAATTCCACACATTGTGAGGTTTGTGTAAAATTAGTATTACATTTTGCCTTGCTGCACTCTCTGTTGCAAACTTGTGTTTGGTAGCATTACTTTCAAAATATCAGAACTTACATAATTACACATTCTCTGGGGACACCACTGACTTTAACCTCATATTAAAGGGCAAGTATGAAGTTAGTTATTTTGCAATTTAAGAAACTATGTTCTGCTGCCAGACTGAGAATAGAAGGGAATTTTGTGCCTTTTAGTCAGAGCTGGGACTTAGTTAATTTACTCAAGTAGCCTACTGTAGGCTACTTATGGACAGCTGTAGTTATTACTTTTTAGATTAGGATCAATTTATATAACATTATAGATTATAACTATCTACCAGTAGTATATAAAGCTGTTAGAATTGGAAACAGCTTCTGTAGTAAAACTAAAATAATATGATATGCTTTTACTTTTGATAGAGTAGCCTACTCTTTGATAATAGGCTACTTTTGTACTGCAGGCTACGAGGCTTTTACTCGTGTATTTTTACATAGTCTATAAGATGATGTGAAAGGATTAAACTCATTTAAATGCAACTCAACGAATGCTGGACTTCTTCTTGTTGCCTCGCATCATTTCAGCAGAGCACTGAGCACATCTGGAGAGAGCAGGACGTCCACTTTTGAGGGACTGGCCCGCAGAGAGGGAAGGAGGCGGGGGCAGAGCCGGTGTTGGCTTTCACAGCCAGAGAACGTGACTGCAATGGTTGCCTGTACGCGAGCCGTGCCAAACTTGCCTGCTCTCTGAAAGCGGCTCGCCGTCTCTTGCCTACGGTTTGCCGAGGGTGGGGGGTGGTGGCGGGCTACTGTTGCTCGGCGCTCGCGAGAGCCACCGTTTGCAGATTTGAGAGTCGCCAGAAAACTTTGAAAAGAATACCACCGCGGAGAAATACAGCTGCGCGGCTGAACTTCCACCAGCTGCCCGAGGGGACCGGGAGGAGGAGTCAACAGGTCCCAGGTATTAACATCCACTTGTCACTGACAGCTTGTCAACATTTGACAGCGTGCGTTCGGGTCTCAGCCTCTGTAGGAGGTCAACCGGATACCGTGTTGAACTGTGTCACCTGGAGGATTTTGAATGCGTCGTGCATGGCCACGGTGGATCTGTTTTAACGCCGTTCATTGTCAGAAATAACTAGAGTGCGAAACTCCTGTCAAGTTGGTAATTAATGGCTACCAAAGCATCCGCATTGTCGAACAAAAACTATTATTGTGTTTGTCAGCGACATTGTATTCAGTGGATACGACGTCTTTTAGGGCAGCTAGCATGCAAAGCTAACGCTCCTCTGCGCGTCAGGGTAGCCTGTAAAGACACTGGGGGCAGATTTCAGCGCTGACAGTTTCCACAGGGCAATTACATGAACCGACCTGCCACACAACTTGCTTTGCATTTATAGAAAAGTGCCTACATGTGGAGTTAAAAGCACGCAGCGCTGTGTGTCTGAGCTTCTGCACCCACTCCGACAAGAGCTTGTTTGTTTTTGCAACGTCAGGGCACCGTAATGTGGAGAAATATGTATTTTGTGACATCGCGAATTTTGCACATTTTGCTCAGTGTTGCTTCGTTGTGGGCGACTTCAGCTTGAGATGAACTTTGCTCGAGGGCATAGTGTGCATGCTCTTTGATACCGATCATATCAGGAGCCCACTTCCTCCCCTCGGTGTGCTGTAAATGGATGAACAGACCTAGCTCACAGAGGGGCAACCACAGCCTGCATGTTTTTGATGTGATCTAAAGCTGAGCTGGAAACTTGATGACCCAAAACACACAGGCATTCTCGTGTAGCCAAAAAAACAAAAAAAAAAGCCTTAAAGTACCACTGCAAACTGACAGTTATCTCCCCTAATTTCTTAACACCCCAGATCAACCCCTGTCAAGAAAATGTAGCAATATGAGGTGTCTGGATCGCAACAAATTGAATGTCAGCATCTGTGTTATAACGCTTGAGTTACACACCCTGCAGTGTGACAAAAATGTCACAGATTACAGTGCTTATTACCCTCTATTTAAGGCTGCAACAAGCACTTTCTAGATGTTTGCTTTTATTTAATCTGTGCACTTAACTCATGTGGCACAGTGTGGTTTGTTGAAAGATATTTTGTGATACACACAGAGTCTCTTATACTTGGCGGCAAGCATGGCAGTGCAGACAAGTTTTTCTGTGGGGTTGGGCTGGGAGAAGAAGATGCCCTTTCCTTTGGCAACCTGTGACATTCAGAGCAAGATGCATTAGAGGTCGAGTCACTCAGTGGGAAATTTGGCGTGTCTGAGGGTTTTCCCACCCTGTCACCCCCTCTCTTGGTGTGATTCACCGGTAAATGTTGTGCCGTCACCATAATTGGGGCTAAACGCAAGATTGTGCTCATGCCCACTAAACTGTCACATTTGATAATAGTTTAAAATAACCTTTAGATACCATTTTTATCTGTAACTAGTTCCTATCTCATTGGTGGGAATGAGGTTATCTGAAAGGTGTGGTGTTGGCATTCATAGGTAAATCTAACATAGTAAGAAAGGTTTAGTGAAATTGTAGTGAACAGTCATTGCAGGCAGCCGATGTAGTTACATGATTTTAAAAAGTTGAAGTGACCCAGTGTTGTACTTGTTTGTAAAAATGCAGTGTTCTGATACAGGGGTTTTTGTTACACTGTCAAACCTCTCTGACAAGCTTCAACGGGAAGTTAGTTCTCTCCACGTGTGAACAGTGCCAGTTAAAGGCCTCGCACGCCTCGGTTTCACTTGGCATTAATGTGTCATCATCGTTGAGGCAGTGGCACACTCACTTTGCCCCACCCACCCACAATGTCCCTCTCCTTCTTCTGCAGATTGTAACGTTGAGTGTGAATGATGCCGTAAAGGAAATTCTTTCATCTTTGTTCATTGAAAACACAGTGGCGGTGAGTCAGTGTGTCCTATCTCTGTCAGTTTTGTTTTTCACATTTGCTTATCAATGTGTGGAACAAATAAATAACTTTACCAGAGGAAGGGAGATGAGTTACTAAAGGTTGGTTGGATTGGTCACATTTAGATCAGTTTTGGTCAAATTAGATGGTATAAATGGTATAAAGTGACATTGACTTTGCTTGTTGAATTTAGATATTTTGTGTGACCTGTTTTCATATTGCATGGCAAGTTAGAGAGCGGGTTCAGTGTGTCTTTCCATCCTTGTGTTACTATCAGGTGTTATGGATGGTGTCATGATAGCTCAGCTGGTCACCACATCATTGAACATGCAGATCATTTTGATCTCAGTCACATGATAGCATCCTTCACAAATAACAAATAAACCACCGGCAGCAGGAGGTGAAAATGTAAATATTGTAGTTTTAGAGAATACTCTTGGCTAAATTTGGCATGGGGCCTGGTTTTCTTTGAAAAAGCCCTCAGTGTGTCAGGTGGTTTGGTTTGGTCTGTAGTGGTCTATACACACAGTCTCGCCACAGCAACCTGCTCCCCTGTAGTTGACAAGCCAGGCTGACTCACGAGGCTGTGGCTGTGCAGCACAAACTTATCAGGCACTGACAGATGAGACATGCTCCCCACAATGGCAGGGCACCCCGGAGATGTCACCCAGCGCTTGCCTAACGGTAAACACCTCTACCCAGTCCCACCCACACGCTGTCAGAATTTGACTGCTGGCTCTGTTTCTGGAGTGGGAAGTTCTTACAGTGAAAAACCACACTGCAGAATAGAGTTTCACTCACTATAAATAGGAAAAAACAATAGGCTGGGTTTTTAGAATTTCATTTGATGTGTACACATGCTGGTTTACCAATACACTGAATTTGCAATTAATCTTTGTTCAGCAAATAACATCTTTGGCCCAATAGAGAAACAGTTACTTCTACAAAGGGAGTCCAGTGGAAACAGTGTAGCTTTACACTAATAAAACCAGCCTTGACCTAAATGAAACAGGCCCTGACTCTGTCAGAATAAGTAGAAATAAATTGGGATATTACAGTGGTTTGGCTGTGGTGCCCAATGACGTAGTCATTGCCTTAGGGACTGGGGCGAGTGTGGGAAAAGCAGGAGAGAAGAAGGGTGGGAGCCGATACCAGGAGAGTGCAGCCGAGGCCGAGTGGGATTTTTTGGAGGGGGAGTTCTGGAGCCGCTGTGATGTTGGGATGTGGGAGCTCCACTCACGTCGGCCGGCGGCTGTTAGACAGGCCTGCTTTTGCATACTGATTCTCTCTGCGCTGCTTTCCACATAGCTCACTGGACTGCCTGGCCCTGCCAGCCTCCCCCTCTTGCTTTCACGCCGCCTCCTTTTATTCCTTTTTTTATGGCTTTGATGGTATTAAATAATCTTTACGTGTCAGAGTGCACAGCTCCCAGTGTTCATGTCGGGAGAGCGAGAGAGCAATTAGGTCAGAGTGGTAGAATGATTTGGTTTCATCCCAGCCTTAAAGCGGCAGGGTACCTCACTTCAACTTGCTCTTTATATTCACCTCAAACCTTCGGAGTGAGATGTTCAAAGAGGTCCAAGGCCAGTGGGGTTATCAAAGCACTCAGCGAGAGAACTTCGTATCTCTCTGTTGTATAATCTCATGATAAAATGTCCCAGAATGGATCATCGTGATATTTTAAGTTCCTCACTATGTTAATTTGCCTGAAGAATCAGGCCACGTTTGTCTCCTTTTTTCCTAATGAGGCTGAGCTAAAGACCCATATAAGCTATTATCCTGGTTATTGATTTGAAATGTGTTTCAAGCCACAGGTTGTTTTGGTAGACCTTGAAATCATTGACATATTTATCTGCAGAGTTTTTTGTACTGCTTTTTTTTTTACAGACTCATGCAAAAAAACTGAAAGCCATGTGTTTCTGTTGATGTTCTCACTTGATCTGCGCCATAAAGTTTCCCATAGCCTGTTGTCCCATGTTTGAGATTGCATTTCTACTATTTGGCATGGGAATGTTCTGGCCCATGTCAAACTGTTTCATTGCCCTCGTCACAGGGTTTCATACTATTTTCCACACTCATTTTGTACCTTGGCTTTTTCCGAAAGTGTCTCTGCCCAGTCAGAGAGTCCCCCGGCGTGACGGCTGACATTTCAAGTGAAAGAGCCCTATTGTTGGTTCTTAATCCCCCTCCACCCTCCTCTCCATAAAACAATGGTATCAATTGCTTCCACTGAGTACATCCACAGCTCTGAGTGAGAGACAGATTGGCCCGGCCTGTTAGGTAGTCTGCCAGCCGCCCTACCGGGCAGCCAGGCCAACCTCGTCATTCTCAGTGATAGCTCACTGCTGCCCGCAGATTCCTCTTCAGGCATCTGCGCTAATATTATCTCTGTAGCATGAGAACCTTGATCGTGGCTACACTGCCACCTCGTAAATGCAGAAATAATGGCTTGCGTATATATTTATTTTCCCGGGGAGACAGTGGAGCAGATCAGTGGCTTCGACGTACCCCCAATCCCCCAGCGTCTTAATGAATGGTCTCCATTCTATTTTCCTTCATTTTTCCCGGGACACTGCCATTAACTTTGACGGATGATATGTTCTTTCACTGAAACAGTGATCCTGGGCACACTGTCACTGGAAATTGGATTCGCACACCCACCCCTTTGCTGCTTGCCTTTTCTCCATCTCTCTTTTTCTCGCTGTCTTCCTTTTTCCTGTTGCTCTCTCTTAGTCTGCACTGAGGGACTGTTAATATTCCTTTTAGAGCTGCACTGTACAGCTAAGCTGCCAAATTAACCCCTCTTCTGCCATGAATGAGACAGCAAGCCCGATAGCCGGTGCCACTTAAACAGATGTCTGACCGGCTGATCTGTCCTTAAGCGCTCCTTGATAACACCAGTGCTGCTCTGTGCCAAGTGTGTGTCAGCAGTCAGCTGACCAGTCAGATGACATTGAGGTGATTTTTGGTTGGTTGTCCACAGGAACAAAACCTTCTAGTTTCATATTTACTTTGTTGACATTGGTATCATTTTAGCCTTAATCTTTTTTTAGG